CAACACCTCTAAAATCCCCAACCCTAAACCCTAACCCCCTCAACCCTAATAACCCTAAAACCCTTAAACCCGAGAAACCCTAAAACCCTAAACCCCAAACCCTCAAACCCCGAAAGACCCTAAAAACCCTAAAACCCTAAAACCCTCCAAAAACCCTTAAAAAAACGCCCTAATCCCCTGAACAACACCCTAAAAGCCTTAAAGCACCTGAAAAACAAAACCCTAAAAACCCCTAACAAACGCCCTAAAAACGCCCTAAACCCCTGAAAACCCTGAGCCGAGGAGCTTGGTCGGGAAGTCGCGCCGGCCCCGCGGCAGGCGCTGCTTCCCAAATCGGGCGTTGCGGATCCCCGCGCAGGAGCCCTCCAAGAGCTGGCTTGGGGGGTTTTTAGGGTTAGGGTTTAGGGCTTAGGGTTTAGGATTCCCGGGTTCCTGACACACCAGATGGCTGTTGGCTGGAGACGCGGCACTCTGAGGCACTCCAGTTTCATGTCTTCGGTTGAGCTTGAAGATCACTTCTCCTTGATCATGCTGGTCACACAGTACCAGCTACTGAACATGAGCCCAAAAACATGACTCTGAAGTAGAACTCCAAGGCATGAAGCCGCGGTAAACAAAAGGGCGTACGCCCAGCTTCCGTCTTCAACCTGGACCCTCGAAGAGCAGGCGGATGCGCCGCATCCACGCTGGAGAGGCTTGCGCACACCAGGCTTGGAGCCACATATGTGGGGATTCGGAGTGTATAAGGTTTATGTGGCGCCAGGTACGAAGTGCACGGTCCGCTCTGCTGCGCAAAGAAATCGGCCACTTGGTGGCAAGAGTAAGGGCTGCAATGGGTCTGGGGTTTAGGGATTTCATAGCCGGGAATGAAAGAACTAGGTACCCCACAAACTTCCCTTGACGGGGAAAATGCCTAACTCCCCCAGTCCCTACGCAGAACCAGTAGGTTTAGGGCTTTGGGGGGCAACCCTAAATCCTAAACCCCAAACCCTAAACCCTAAACCTTAAACCCTAAACGCCCTAAATCCTAAACCCTAAGCCCTAAACGCCCTAAACCCCTAAACTGGCCTGTGCCACAAAGACCTTGCAGTGATAGAGGAGGGAGTCTTCCAGCCTGCAGTTCGGGAATTCAGGGTGAGGGTTTAGGGTTTGGGGTTTAGGGTTTAGGGTCTAGGGTTTAGGGTTTAGGGTTTAGGGTTTAGGGTTTAGGGTTTAGGGTTTAGGGTTTAGGGTTTAGGGTTTAGGGTTTAGGGTTTAGGGTTTAGGTTTTAGGGTTTAGGGTTTAGGGTTTAGGGTTTAGGGTTTAGGGTTTAGGGTTTAGGGTTTAGGGTTTAGGGTTTAGGGTTTAGGGTTTAGGGTTTAGGGTTTAGGGTTTACGGTTTAGGGTTTAGGGTTTAGGGTTTAGGGTTTAGGTTTGGGTTCGGATGCTGGCAGCGTGAGGCTCAGGGGTTAGGGCTCTACGGGTTAGGGCCTAGGGGCTTTTGGGGTTAGGGTTTAGGGTTTAGGGTTTAGGGTCTAGGGTTTAGGGTTTAGGGTTTAGGGTTCAGGTTTAGGGTTTAGGGTTTAGGGTTTAGGGTTTAGGGTTTAGGGTTTAGGGTTTAGGGTTGGGGCAGAAATTCACGACACCCGGCCCCGCCGCGTCAACAGATCCTTCTGGAAGTCGTCGAGGGTTTGATAGCCATCCAAGGCAACCTGCGCCAGCCCGAAAATTCTCTGAAACCCTAGAACTCTAGAACCCTAAAAACCCCACAACTCTAGAACCCTAAAACCCGAAATCCCCTGCAGCCCTAAAACCCTCAAACTTGACAAAACCCAAAACCCATAAAGGGGCAGGGGGGGGGGGGGGGGGGGAAGGGGGAGGGTTTTGGTGAAGCTGCCACCATACACTGGTCCCACTGAAGTCCGGCTAACCAGGACTTAGGGTTTAACTTTTTGGGTTCAGGGGACTGTTGTGAAGTGGAGTCTTTTTCGGTTGTTTTGAGGAGTGTGTCAACCAGATCCAGAAGACATGTCCTGTGTTGCCTGTGAACATATATTTGAGATCGTAGCAAGCAAACCTAACTTAAGTCAAGGAATGCTTTCCTTATTGTCCATTCCCCAAGCTAAGACAATACTACCTTATGGAACGTAACAGTTGCGACTTACATAGTTGAAGGTATTTAAGCTGAATATGATTTCTAATATTGAAAAACATTCTCTTCTGATATTCCAGACCAGTAAAGTAGTAGAATTGCTTTAGGAATGAAAGTTGACCTCCAACCATGTTCAACACGCCAATCAAAGCTGACATCTCAAACTTGGGGATAACAAACATCTAACTCATGATGATCGAACCCTATACAGCCGATTCTACTCACTCAAGAAAGGAGACCGCGCCTTCAAAGTTACAAACCATTGTCCGGGTTTAGGGTCTAGGCTTCAGGGTTCAGGGCTTAGAAAGACTGCTTTTTGGCAGCCCTTCGTTCTGTCCCAATGACCCCGGCCATTCAAGCAAGATGACTGACCTCCAACTATGCCAATCAAACTGTCAGACGGTTTTCTTTCGCTTGGGGGTAGGCTGGTACCGATACTGCTGCGACACTACTACTGACACTACACAAGAGGACTGTCGTGATGATTGCTGAGTCAGTGGAGACTGACCCTCTGGTGTAGTAACCCCCGCCCCCGAGGTAATTACTGCTCTTTCTGCCCACGAAGCGATCTTAAGAGGAGTATGGGAGGGAGGTCGTCACTTCAGCCCGAGCAAAGGCTTCAAGAAGTTCCAGGAAGCCGAGATCATGGTCGAAACCATGGCCGAGGCGACGGCGGTCTTGAACCACTTGCGTGTGAGAACTTTGCCCATCACGGGAAGTTGAAGTTCAGGCTGGCGCAGCGTTAATGTGCGGAACATACGGTCGTCCTCTTGCTGACGACACCTGTGCACCACAGCCTCGACGTCCTCGTGGAAGGCCACCAGCGATAGGCACTGCATAAAAAGAAAGGCAGCTGTGAGCTGCGGATGGTTTTGGCCCAAGTTGAAAAACAGCATTCTTGCCTTATCTGCGTTTTGCTCTGAGGCGAACACCAGCAACAAGTCGGCGGCAAGGCCCGTCAGTAGCGACACGCCATCAAGAAGAAAGTGCCAGGTCAGAAAGCAGCCATACCGTCTCTTGCACTTCTCGCAGGCTTCGAAGGCTCGTGTCAAGTCAGCAGCATCCCCTGCAGATCGGAGTATGGCCGTGACGTGTTCTAGCTCCCCTTGCAGCAGTACGCATGTCGCCAAATGGGGGAGTGCTACCAGCCATGAGGTAATGAACCACATCCCAAGATCCGTCAGCACCCTCCCAGCCAAGCCCAAGGCACTTGACGCAGGAAACCCGGCAACCCGAACCGAAGCCATCCACACCAGCACGGCGACGTCTGCCACGCCCGTGAGGCAGCAGGGCACCGCCAAGATCCACCAGGTTGCGCGGCTCGTCGGGCTTGACGTTAGCGTGGGTGGCGCTGCAGGCCTTGGCTGCCTAGCAAACCACAGGTGCAGCAAGCAAGAGGTGCCATTCAGCAGGACACTTGCCCCCATACAGGCCATGATGGTCAGAGACGCACGGCTAGGACCGAGTGCATCTGGCACCAGCACTGCGGTGCTGTTGGAGCAGACGGTTGCAACAACAAAGCCCGGGTATAAGATCGCCAGCGCCATGCCCAGTCTGTCAAGTCGGCGGGGTATGCTCAGACATCCTCCTAGAACGATGGCTGCCACGCATACGAGGTTCATCTCCGTAATCAGTTGACCATATGAGTGCGGCCCTTGGAGACTTGGCGAATTCAGTTCATTAAAAGGCGCCATCCAACGATACAGGAATGTGCAAACTGCGATTGGGGTCTGGAGACGCCACCATTGGCCGACACACGTCACGAGTGCCATACCCGGTGCGCAGATTAACAGCACGACCTCAAACCAAAACACAACTGGGAGCTTCCAGTGAAGCATCCGGTTCGCGACTTGCGACGCGAGCCGCAGTACTCCCAGCGACACCCAGCCCCAATATGCGCAGGTCACCGGCAGCCTTGCCGTCACCTGCGCGCCCACCGCGAAGAGCACCCGCGCCTCGCGCGTCTCGATGCTGAGAGGCTCCGGCCCCGAGCCGGCCACGATACTGAAGGGCTCGGAGCGGGCTGAGCGGAAGGAATCCACAGCTGCCATGCTGGGTTTAGGGTTTAGGGTTTAGGGTTTAGGGTTTAGGGTTTAGGGTTTAGGGTTTAGGGTTTAGGGTTTAGGGTTTAGGGTTTAGGACCCGAAAACCCTAAGCCCTGAATGCCCAGACGTTTCTCGTTCAACGTTACCTCAACCCCACCGAGAGGTCTATGAAAGCCCGAAGAGAGGCTATCTTCCAAGTTTCTGGTTTGGGTCTGGGTTCAGGGACTCGGGGGGAATTAGGGGGTCCTAGGACTATTCGTATGTTTCTTTTTGGCCTTGGGGCTTAGGGTTTTTAAGGTCTTAAGGGGTTTGGGCTTAGGGTTTTGGGGTTTTAGGGCTTGGGATTTTGGGTCCAGCTGCCGAGTGCCACGGACGCAAGCCTAGACCCACAACCCCGAAGCGCCAGACTACCCTTTTTCTGCGCCCCGACTCCGTTCAGAACCCTAAACCCTGAACCCTAAACCCTAAACCCTAAACCCTAATCCCTAAACCCTAAACCCCTAAGCCCGAAACCCCGAAGGGCCCCTAAAGCCCCAAGTCTTTTTTTAAGGCTCGAACCGAGGAGACAGCCCCCGCCAGGCTACAGGGGTTTAGGGTTTAGGGTTTAGGGTTTAGGGTTTAGGGTTTAAGGTTTAGGGTTTAGGGTTTAGGGTTTAGGGTTTAGGGTTTAGGGTTTAGGGTTTAGGGTTTAGGGTTTAGGGCTACAGGGCACCAGGCTCCTACGCTTGAGCCGCCCAAGACGAGGCTTCCTAGAGACACCCGAAGCTCCGAAACCGCGCTGCCTTTCGTTGGACCAGGTGCTCCTAAAGGCTGCTTGGGGCTTAGGGTTTAGGGTTTAGGGTTTAGGGTTTAGGGTTTAGGGTTTAGGGTTTAGGGTTTAGGGTTTAGGGTTTTAGGGTTTAGGGTTTAGGGTTTAGGGTTTAGGGTTTAGGGTTTAGGGTTTAGGGTTTAGGGTGTAGCACGGGTCAGCTGAACGCAATAGTGTGAAGACATGCCCACCCCAAGGCCACCCAAACACAACTCATTGCGAACCAAACCGGAGCCAGCCCAAGCCAAGCCAACCATTCACAACTCAAACATCGAACAGTTCAGAGGAAAGACTGAGAGTGCTTGGGACATTTGCGATTGGCTAAGGACCCCCCCCCCAGGTTTTTGCGCAGGGGACGGTCTGGGCCGAAGGGCCCTCTCATAGCAAATCTCAGGGCATGAACGCTGGGTCACCTGGGACCAGAAGGTTTGTGCGAAGGGGGGTCTGGGCCGAAGGACCCTCGCAATTGCCGATTGGGGATCACTTGGGAGGCCATAAGGCTAAGGATCCCCTTTTAGGTTTTTGCGAGGGGACGGTCTGGGCCGAAGGGCCTTCTCATAGAAAAACTCAAGCGTGAGTAGGTTGCAGCCTGGGGCCATAAGGCAAAGGAGGCGTGAATAGGTTGCGGCCTGGGGCTTATTTGGGGCCAAGACAAAGGACGGGCCAGCAGGGGCCTCCAAAGCGTTTCCAAAAGGGTTGAAGGGCCTCTCCAGGAACCTCACGGGCTTGCAGGGGCCCTCAGGGGCCTCCACGACCCTTCACGGTTTCCGGGGCCTCCCAGGGGCCCAGGGCCTCCAGGGGCCCCCAGGCGTCTCTGGGGACCTCCACATCCAACTCCGAGCTTTGCAGGAGTTTTCAAGGGGTCTCAGGAATGTCCAGGCGCCTGCAGGACCTTCAGGAATCCAGGCGCCTCGACCTCCAAGGGTCTCTCCGAGCCTCCAAGATTCAGGGAACCTCGAGCCTTTCAGGAACCTCCACCCAGCCCGAGAGTTCTCGGGGCCTCCGCAGGGTTTCAGGGGCCTCCAGGGGCCTTCAGGGGCCTCCAGGGGCCTCTTTCAGGGCCTCCAGGTTTCAGGGGCCTGCAGGGGCCTCCACAGGCCTCCAGGGACCTCCAGGGGCCTCCAGGGGCCTCCAAAAGCTCAAAGGGCCTCCAGGGGCCTTCAGGGGCCTCCAGGGGCCTCCAGAAGCCTCCAGGAGCCTCCAGGGGCCTCCAGGCCCAGGAGCCAGTTTTAAAGGCAAAGGACCCCTTGGAGGGTTTTCGGGTAATACAATATATCTGTGACAATGCCAGGCGACTCTAGCTTACCAACCCCTCAGGGGTGCGGTTGGCAGGCTCTGCAGCCCAGCAGAGCCTGCCCTGGTCTCGCTGAGCGCTCGACTGCGCCCGCCTACCCCAATAGAGCTTTGAGGGGGGGCGGGCGGGTTTAGGGTTTAGGAGCTAGGGGCTTTGGGTTTTGGGCTAAGGAATTGGCTTGCATGGCCTGGCCTGGAATGGGTCATCGAAGAAGAGCTGCGAGAGCTTCTTCGAGAACCACCCTTGCTTGCGGGGGGGGGGGGGGATGGTTCTGGCTGTTCTTGGCGTTTGTTGGGGTTTCTTAGGGTTTATGAGGGTTTCTTAGGGTTTCTTAGTATTTGTTCGGGTTTAATGGGGCGAGCGCGTAGGGGACGACCAACGGGTTGAAGGGATCCTTCCTTTGAAGCCGAAACTTCGGAAAGCAACACAAAAGCAGGAGCAATACCCAAAGAAACAGTATCCTCAAGGCCCTCTCAAAGTCAGACAGGGTCCCACGACATTGCGCGGCAAGCCACGTCCATAGACTCCATCCGCGACCCCCTTCACCTGCGAGGGTAGGAATCAGGGGCTTCAAGCCTCGGCCTGAAGGTTGGATGGCCCCATGATGGCCCTTGTGCATTGAGTTGCAGCTGTGATTCACAAAAGCAGCCGCCCGGATACCCTAAACCTCTTGAAAACACCAGTGAACTCTCTCCCAGTTCCTTCGGGGGCCCCCGAAGCCTCTCCGGAGTCTAAGGGTCGTTTTGCGTTGGGGGGGGGGAATCTTTGGGGTCGAGGAAACCTCGACTTGCCCCCAGAAGCCAACGTGGGGACCACATGGGGCCTTCTGCATGCAGCCATCGCGGGAGGCATGCGTTGCGTCGCGGAGCGCCGTCGCCGGCAGCAGCAGGAGAAGCAGCCGCCACAAGGGCAGGTTCATCAGGGGCAGGTGGGAACCCTTCACCAAATCCGCGTAAACCTTGTACTTCTATGAATTTATCAACCCTACCCCCTACCACCCCCTGACAACCTTCAGAATTTAAGCCTGGAAAAGAGCCCTAAAACCTAACCACCCCCAAAACCCTCGAACTTGAAGTGGACGCCGACCGTCCATCCTGAGGCCCCCATGTCCGTCGGCGCTGGGCTTAGTAGGGGTACTTACAGGGACCCCATTCTATACTCCCCTTAGAACCTTGAGAAAAATAATATTTTTAGTACCCTCTTGGGTTTTATACAAACAAAAAAAACATGATTCCCCAGCGGGATATAGTAGAGGGACCCTATTGATTCCCCACAACACATGGGGCAGGACATGAAAAGGGAGTTGGCAGACTGCGACACTTGGAGCCAGAACCAAGGCAGGTTTGGGGCTTTTTGGGCTTAGGGCTTGAGAAGTGGAAGGTTCAAAGGGGTTTAAGGCTCAGGTTTTAACAGGGCTTCGGGTCTGAGAAGTAGAAGGTTTGAGGGGTTTAAGGCTCAGGTTTTAAGACATTGCTAGCATCTTGGGTCCGGTGCCAAGGGGTGACATAAAGCAGCATGAATGCGCCGTCTGGAACTCTTCTTCCTTGGCGTTCCGGCGTACTTGATGAACTCGCTTTGGTGGCATTCTGCGTTACGTCGTTGTCCTTCGCTATGCCGTCTTGCTCTCTTTAACTCCAGCTACCGCGTTGGGCTCTTCTTCTATGCATTCTCGCACTGCCCTGCTCGACCGCATTATACATACGAACTCCACGCCAGGCGGCCCGAAAGCGATTGAGACAGCGAAAGTCCATCATGAGCAGCAGGTAACACTATGGTCACTATGCACGGATCCTGAGAGCTTTGTTGAAGAGCCTATTTCACTCGAGATGTCAAAGCCCCAGGCGCGCTTTTCGCAGGACGCTCCGCAGTGCTGCCTCGCCCTACACGCAAAACCACAGAGAGGCCTCTGGCGGAAACCAAGAAGCACTCCTTTCATAAAACTTCGATGGAGTCACAAGTCTGATCAGAGCCGCCTACTACGAATGGCCCTAAAGTTGGCCTCGAACTGCGTGCTGATCGCCTGGAAGGCGCCCACGATGACCTCCTCACCGAGCTCCGTGGCCTCCCCTCGCTGTTGGGCGCGCTGCTGGCGGTGCTTGGCCACCGAGGCCAGGGCCCTCAGGAAGAACATGAAGTCCTCAAGGGTTTATGGTTCATATATGGTTCATATTCCCCAATAATTGGGGATTATAGCTAGTATAGGGTTATCATGTACCCTGGTAGGGATTATCGTAGTATAAGGTCATGAAGAAGGGCCCTCGGGAGGAACGTGAAGTCCTCGAGAAGTGTCCAGTATTCGGTGTGCGGGATCCTGTTGTCGTGCTCCAGCGCATCGACCTGGCCATGCTGGTAGAAGTCCAGCAGATAGGCGTTGAGCCGCACGGCGGGCACGTCCGGCGCGACCTCCAGCACCGGGAACATCTCAGGATCCAAGCGGAGGTCATCCCGCAGCTCGGAGCAAAGCTCCTGCAAGCTCACGAAGTCGTGCTTGCGGCCGGAGAGCGCCATGAAGGGGGATCGCAAGGCTTTGGAGGGAGTGGAGGTGCAGGGCTGCACCTTGCTCAGGGGGAGGGCGCAGTTCGGGTTCTCCAGGCTCAGGACCAGGCGCTGGAGCTGCCAGAGCGCGGCTTGCAGCATGATCCTGGATTTCTGCCTCCTGGGCAGGAGCCAAAAGGATGTCCATGATGAGGTTATTCTAAAGAGGACGAAAACATCAATTCACATAAATGCACAACTCAAGGAAAAGATTCTTTGATACCACCTGGGTCGCACAAGAATATGGCCTCAACATACAAAAACCGACTGATCAGGCAAGCCTCAAGATGCTCGTGATCTTCTCAGGCAGAGGAGGCAACTCTACCACGGAGGACTTGAGCCTCTTCTTGAGACGCGTCCGAGAGTGCCATCGCTCAAGGGGTCGGCGATGAAAGAAGTTGCAGAGAACTGCCACCAAGTCCTTGCGCGGGCCCTGGCACAGCTCCGTCAAGACGCCTCGCTCCTGGAGAAGTGAGACGAGTGCGAAGTTCCCTGGCTCCTCCCACCAGATGTGCGCCACAAAGCCCGCGTAGTCCGTCACCTGAGGCGGAACACATGGGGACGAAATTCAACCAAAGAGGACGGGAGGTGCAAATGTTTGTGATCAACCCCTGTCCGGCCGGCGCCTGTCGAGAAGGTCCCAGGAAGCCTTCCGCAAAGAGATGCCGGCCGAAAAACTGGAAGAGGTGTGCCTGTTGGAAGGGAATGCTTGGCGATGGGCAGAAGAAGGGGCAAGTGGCCAGACGACCAACTGCCCGCGCCACAGAGTCTTCCGCCTGCGGCAGCACCTGGGCTTTCATCAACAGCCTCAAAGTCAGAGACGCGGTCAGGGGGATGCTGCCCTCAATCCTTGGCAGCTCACCGACCAGAAGCCTCTGGACCTTCTTGCCCGGAAGGCCGAAGAACACGATGTGGCCCCGGAGGTCAAAGCCGCGCCGGCCCGCCCTCCCAGCCTCTTGTTGGAATTGCATGGGGCTCAGAAAGAGGGAGTCCCCTGCAAAGACGGAGGTCTTTGAAGGCATGTTGATGCCGAGGGCCAAGGTGGACGTCGACACCACCACGCCCAAGCGCTGCATGCGAAACAAGCGCTCCACCACCTGCCGATAGAGCGCGGGCAAGCCAGCATGATGCACACCAATGCCATAGAGAAGAAGGCTGTGCAAGGGATGGCCAGGCTTGAAAGGATCTTTGATTAGGTCAAACTCCTCTTCCAGCTCAGAATTCGTCAGCTGAGTGCGTCCCGGTGGAGTCGCCGTGCACTCCCGAGGAATCCCTTGTAGTAGTGCAATGGCCGTGGCCAGGCTCTTGCGCTGCTGCACGTCGTCGAACTCTTCCGGCTTGAGCACCAGAACGCCATCTTTCCCAACTCGGCCCTCGGGTATTGGAATCAGATTCCGTTGTTTGACCAAGGCCTCAATCTTGGACTCGATCTTCTCATCTCGGCGATACTTCGCCACCTTTGCTCGCAGGTAGTTGCCCAATGTAATGGCCAAGCATTCACATCCACCTCGACTGTCATGGAATACGATGGCTGGAAGCATGTCCGCAGTTTGCAGCTCCTCAACCAAAGAACCAAAGCGAGCCTCCAAGTACTCTTGTGACCCCTTCCGCAGGCCCTCCTCGATGCATCCGAAGGCTGCACCTGCCTCCTCGGTCAGCTCATGAACCACCTGGGAGCTTACAAGGGTCCCGTAACATAGATCCCCAAAAAGTATAGGATCCCCCCAGAATAAGGACCTCAATAAGGGACCCCTAAAAAAGATCATTATAGATCCCAAAATGGTATAGGATCCTCTTGTAATAAGGACCTCAAGAAGGTACCCGTAATTTCGGAAACCCCCACCTCAACCTGCACGTCGCGCGCGGCCCGGTCGAAAGCTTCTCCCAGTGACTTGGACCACTGCTGCACCTCTGGGCTGGCTCGTAGCAGGGAAGGAGGGAGTGAGGTACCCTATATAATCCCTTAAGGGTATATAGAGGGGTAAGTGACGCACCCTCTATAATCCCTTAAAAGGGCCCTTCCCTCCTTCCCTACTACGAACCAGCGGGCACCTCCTGCATGCTGAGGTTCCAGGAGCCCTGTGGCAAGGAAGCAAAGTAGGCCTCCGGGGCCAAGGCCTGGAGGTCAGCCTTGGAGCTAAGCACGTCATAGAGCTGCAGGGCATCCTCGGGGATGAGATGGAGATTCTCCGGCCTGATCTTCTCCCGCGCGGAGGCGTGAACGGCGGGTTGAAGGGCGAAGAACGGGTGAAGTCGACGCAGATGCTCTCCATCAAAGACCCACGGCTGAAGGTCGTTGAACCGACCCACCTGCTGCAGTACGTGAAGCTCACGTTTCTGCTGAGCTTGCAGCTTTCGCATCCAGGATGTGAAGTCCTCGCTCTGCCCCAGGGTGGCCGACAATGCCAAAATGGGGCAGGGTAGCAGCGACAGGATCTGCTCCCAAACCTCTCCAGTCCTCACGCAAGAGAGTGACCCGACCCCCACTGCAAGAGCATGGGCATTGCACATTCTTCGCAGAAGTTGCTACTGCATTCAGTCACCCACCGCCCCCAGCCTGCAGGCAGAAGCACCGCTAGAGACGTAGAAGCAGGGCCCCCACTGGCACAAAATGCGCTAGAGAAGATGCGCGCAGAAAGAGCGGCGCGGGTGGTGGGCGTAGTATTGACAAGATGATATTAGATGCAAAGTGGCAATCGGCGCGACGTGTTGCGATTGTGGCACGAAGTGCTGAACCTCTGAACTCATCAGTGTGAAGAGTTAGTGTTAGTGTGGAGTGAGTTCACGGGAACCGCCCTCCCCCCAAACGCATTTTCGCACTCTCTTTAGACTTCGCCGCCAGGACCTTTGAGGTGATAGCTTGTATGAATGTCTTTGCCCCTCCCAATACGCTGTAACACGCCTGCGCTCTGACATGCTTCCCCAATACCTGCATGACATCCATGTGACGCCGATCTCATTCTATCACGACCAGGCGCAAGACAAAGCCACAAACGAAAACTTGCCTACGGCGCAAGCAAGGTACTCGCCACCAAGGCAATGCACCTCGTCCAGAATGGCATACTCCAGCCGCTCGACCCATGCGTGCATGGCCGCCGTGGGGCTCAGCATGTAGATGACCAAGCACTGGGGCACCGTCACCAGAATCTGGCACTCCTGAAGCCGTTCCGAGCGCCGGTCGCGGGTGAAGATGCCGCAGAAGGGCCGGCCGTCTCGGTAGGACTTCTCGAAGCGGGCTTCGATCTCGGCATGGACTTGGTTGGCAAGTGCCTTGGTGGGACACACATAGACCACGATGCCCTCGTCGCTGGTCCTGAGCGCCTTCTCCATGACGTAGAAGGCGATGAAGGTCTTGCCTGAGCCCGTGGGCGCCTGTACGAGGGCTGATTGCCCTGCATCCGCGACATCCAGCAAAATGGACTGCCAGCCATCCGGCTTGAAGCCCTGCACACGAGGATCCGCTGAGCCCACCGGCCTTGCCAAATGCTCAGGCGCCGTAGCCAGCTGAAACCGGAAAGGGCAGCCGACATCGCCTCCTTTCTCCTTCTTCTCCTTCTTGGACTTGGAGTCCTTGGGCTCCTTCCCGGGCTCTAAGGCACTTGCAAGCACCGGCATCTTCAAGTGCTTCGATGCGAGCTTCTGGAGCTTTGGAAGGAGCTCGGCGTCCTGTATGGCCATGGGCCCACCACAGCTTCGCAGGATCTGCTGCAAAACCTGGAAGCTGCGCTTCTTCCGCGATCCGTCTAAAGGGCAAGTCTCGTCCAGGTCTTGACAGGTCTGCAACCCAAGCTTGCCTCCCTCGAAGAAAGCCTCCCGCTGTCCTTCCGCCCACCAAGCATGCAGCTGCTTCAGCAGCTTCGCAACCTGTCGGGACTTCGATGCCTCGTCTGCATGCTTAAAGTCCTCCTTCAGCGTGCTGATCTTCTCCAAGCTTTGCTTCAGCTGCTTCTGCTGTCGGGACGCCTCGGCTTGCTGCTTCACCTTGTCTGCCCGGCTGGGGCTGCCCTTCTTGCGCGGCTCCTTCACGCCACTGCCTGCGAGACGCGCCAGCGCGGCCTCTCGCAGCTCCTGCAACTTGGACTTCTCCAACTTCTCGCTGATGGTCTGGCGCGGCGCCGGGCTGCCCTGCAGCAAAGAGTCCAAGAACTTCTGGCTCCTCCCCGCGCTCTGCTGCGCCTTCCGCTCGGAATTGAAGGCCGAGATCGTCATGCGGAAGCTCAGCAGGATGGGGAACGCCTTCACCGCCCAGCAGCTCGTTGAGGTGAGCCAAGCTCTTGACTTGCTCATCGGCGTGGCTGGGGTCCGTCAGCCTTTCCAGCTTGAAGGAAACTCCCCGGGAGGAGATCGCGAACATCCAGCGTTCCCTCTTCTGCTTCGGAGGAATCTGCACAGTGCCATCCTGCTTCAGCACCTTCAGAACTGCCTGAAGCCGCATCTCGTTCTCCACACGGATCTTCTGCATGGCATCACCTCTCTTGATAAGAAAGGCGTCCGGCTCGGAGTCGTCCAGCGGCGTGCAGCTATGGAAGTGATGCGGGCTGTAGTCCCTGAACGAGCTCTCAGCTGACCAAGCCGTCTGCCGAGGCCTGTCAAACATGTCGCCCAAAGCGCCGGGAAGCCAAGACAGCTCCCTCTCCAGGGATTCAAGGGCCATGGGAAGAGGATTGCCCTGACTGCTCGGTTGGGGACCTGTCTCTTCAACCTGCCCTTCCCATGGCACCTTCCGGCGCAAGCCTTCAAGCGACGCGTGGAGGCCTGTCTCGCCAAGCTCCTGCCAAAGAACCTCCGCGGACTCCACGGCGCCCGGGAAGCTGCCCAGGTCACCCTGCAAGCAGCAAGCCGTGATGCGATGGAAGAGCCGGCCGTCGAAGATGTCTCCCAAGGTTCCATCAAACTCAGCACCGCCTCGCGCCGCGTGCAGCGCACGGGTCATGGCAAAGTGGAGCTGGTCCAAGAACTGCGGAATCTGAAGCTCGGATGGCAGGGACGGCAAAGATTCGGAGGAGATGCAACGCTCCTCCAGCGGCAAGGTCTCCGCTAAGGCCAGGCAGGTGCAGAAGACCGCGCAGAGCCCGCGCTCTTTGGAAGTTGGCAACATCTCTCTCAAGGCCAAGAGGCACAGGCTCCGTCTCAAGGACCCTTTCAAGGGCGGCAAGGGCCTTGGGTCTGGCAGCTCAATGGTGCTCTGGAACAAGGACGCCAGGCGCTGCTTGAAGAACGCGAAGGGAGTAGTGCAGCATCTGAGCCTCTCCAACTCGAAGTAGTTCCCGCGAAGCCGCGCCCTGGTCGTGGACAGCGCCTCCAAGTCCAGCACCGGCAGGTCGATCTGGCTCAGCCAATGAACGAAGAAGCAGGATCTGATCTGGGAGCAGTCCTGGAGGGCGTTCTGGACGGCGTTCTGGGCACCCAGGTCAGGGAAGGGGCAGTTGAAGTCAGTCAAGATGTAGGACGGGTCTGTGGCTCTGACCAAGTCCAAGATGCCCCCTTCACAGAAAGAACCTGCCAGACATTCTTGCAACGTGGCGCTCCAGCACCCCACAAGCTCCTCGAAACCCTCAACCCAAACCCCAAACCCTAAACCCTAAACCCCAAACCCCCCCCCCCACCTTGCAAGAGATGATGATTCACCTTAGGCACCTTCGCTCGCCGGAGGTGTTCGGACAGGAGCAACCAAAGCAGGCGTTGCCTTACCGGTAGGAAGGCCACCTCCTCTGAGAAGAAGAAGACGTGAAGCTCCAGGCCTTTGGCAACCAGACCGGCCAAGAACCTTTCGGCGATGTAGATGCATTGCAGCCACTGGCCCCCGTGGCTCCAATCGACCGCATCATTCCACCCAACCTTTCAGCACAGAGCACCGCCGTCCACAAGCACCGGATGCTCGGAGCCGAAGCAAACCAGCAAGTCCAGGGCACCTCCGGTGAAGGTGCGGTCGACCACATAGCCCCGGTAGCGATCCAAGAACCTGAGGCTCTGCAAATTCATTGCAGTGTTGAACTCTTGACTTGGACCAAACATGAAGATATCATGTCAAGTCACCTGAGGCCGTCGATAAGAGTGATGTGTTCGTTGATGTGTTCTTTTGCTGTTGCTGCGGGGCGCGGCTATGTTGGCGCTCGCTCACTCGCTCGCAGGCTTTTGCTTTTTCCTAGCTGCGGCTGCCGCTGCCGCGGCGGGCCCCTACTTTTTGCTGTTGCTGCAGCACTCACTCACTCATCACTCACTCGCGGATTCTTGTGGTTGCCGAGCTGTGAGGGAGAGAGGAGGTGGGGGCGCGTTTGTTTTGTTGCTGTTGCCGCGGGGCGCCTCACTTTTGCTGTTGCTGCTAGCCACGGGCCGTGTTTTCTGTTGCCGGGGTGCAACCAAAAAGAAGTCCCACCGGTAAGAGTGTCTACCACCAAGGTCGAGGAACGTCTGATCGTCGGAGTTCTCTTCCGGCGGCTCGTCTTCCGAGGCAAGTCGTGTTGACTCTGCAGAGTCAGCCTCACTGCCGCTGCCATCGACTGATTCGCCATCGGATTCCATGGCTGATCAATCAGTGCAGAAGCTGTTGCATGTTATGGCCTAGCTGGTCATAACACCGAGAAAGCTGACAGGCGAGGGCGACTAGTTTGTAAACATTCTGTGATCCATTATTGCATGCTGTGCCGGTTCTCGTCAGAGTTGCCATGGGTATGCAGGCACACAAGAAGCACCCATCAGTGACAATCTCCTGCATCTCAACTCCTTCGTAAGCCAGACCTTGCCAAAGACGGAAAGCTCAAGGAGCAAGGCTCACAAAATGGACTCGTTCACGCACAGCCTGCTCAAATACATAACGTCGTTCCACGACTGAACGCATCTCCCCAACACATCTCCTACTTCGATGCTAATAATGATGATGGCGATGATGGTGACAAAAGTCTTTCTGGAGATAACGACCACGTGTCGGACATGCCGTGGGGGCAGGGCAACATTTGCGTGGTGGTGTGGGGATTTGAGGCTGCCTTTTCCTTGCATGTTCCGCGGCACTACCTTACCACAGGGGTGTGTGGGGGATGTTCTCTTGACGAATTCAAGGTGAAGAGGACGACTACTCTCAGCTGGCGCTTCATGGCACCTCTGGCCAATGGTTGGATTACAGAGGTCAGCGATGAGCTGCCATGCCATCCGCTCTCAAAGTCGGCTGCACAAGTTTCCCGGAAAAAAAGGCCTGCAGATGCTACGTCTCCAACATCTGAAACATTCAAGTCATTCGTGTGCAAATGCTACTTCTCAGTTCTAGGCTTCCCTACGGTAGTTCAGTGGTAGATCCCATCGATATTCCACAGTGCAGGCGGCCAAGTCTGCACCGTCTAGTCCCGAGATGGCTTTTGTTCCGCGCCTGACGAGCTTCGAGCTCCACTTTTTTTTGAAGCGGACGCCCCTTTACCACATCAGCAGCACAGTGGGCCAGTCTATTGCGACAGAGACAACTACTTTGAGAGTCAAACTGTACAAGCCAGCGAGCGTAACAGAGGTCGTGACTACAAAGAAGCAACCGCTAGCGCAGAGGCCCTTATTGCACGACAACTTAACGTAAGGCCAGCAAGGTGAGACCAATGCAAACAAGAAACTACCGGCACCAATCACTCAGCTGCCCGTCACCCATAGCAATGCTGCGCCACGTCTGGTACAGACATTAAGCGAAAGTATGGGTAGGCCGTAAGGCAAGGAACCTCCGTCACCTAAACTGCCCAACGCGTCCGTAGGGACAGTCCCACACAAGCGCCTGGGCCGTAGCAGTAGCATAGCACTCAGTACACCCTTTGGCAGTTAGGTTGACAACTGTGTGAATGCACAGAGAGTTGAGACCAAAGACTTGTTTTACCACACAGTAGCAGGATAGCCCTCGCAGCACGCGGATGCGTGCTATGAGGGCAGAAACCTCGCTGCGTTGCTCGACCTGCAGGGTCCGTGTTATGCAAGTGACGCAGTTTAAGATCCATGTAACTTAACTGCCCCGCACAGCGGCCGGTTTTCGCTATCACACACAGACCATTAAGGACGAAGGCTGGCGCTGTTGGGCCTGCAGCCTCAAAAGCGCGCCAGGCAGTTGCGCAGCGAAACGTGTTCCGCGGAGCTGCAAAGGGGCCAAGCAGAACCCACTATCCCAGAAACCAGTTTTTGGAGAACGTTTTTATGCAATTTGCAGGGACTGGCCCAGTGACTGGCCAAGAGGGGGCCTTCTTGGCAGCCTGCAGCTTGCGGTTGCAGGGACTGCAAGCAGGCTTCTGGGCAGCTGCAGCTTGGATGCCACAGAGCCTGCAAGTAGGCTTCCTTGCTACTGGGCCTGCGCTCAACGTGTTTAGTCTCCAGGTCATCAAGCGAACTGCAGGTAGGTCATTACTCTTACTGCCCCGCGCAGCGGCCGAATTTTTTTTTGATAGCACACAGGCCACGCAGCGAAAGGGCTGCAGGGACCTGCCCAGAGGCGGACTTCTCGGCAGTCTGCAGCTAGGACGCTACAGGGACTGCACGTAGGCTTCCTTGCAACTGGGCCTGCTCCCGGTCCGGGGAACCCATAGACTTCAGGTTCACGATTTCTCGCCGTGCTGCTGCCAGGTCCCATGTAACTTAACTGCCCCGCGCAGCGGCCGGTTTTCACTATCACACACAGACCATTAAGGACGAAGGCTGGCGCTGTTGCGCCTGCAGCCTCA